GAGAGGGAGAGAGGAGAGAGGGAGAGAGGGAGAGAGGGAGAATAGAGGAGAGAGAGATGGGAAAGAGAGAGGGAGAGAGAGATGGGAAAAGAGAGGGGGAGAGAGAGATGGGAAAAGAGAGGGGGAGAGAGAGAGATGGGAAAAGAGAGGGGGAGAGAAAGATGGGAAGAGAGAGAGAGAAATGGGAAGAGAGAGAGAGAGAAAAGATGGGAAGAGAGAGAGAGAGAGAAAGATGGAAAGAGAGAGAGAGAGAAAGATGGGAAGAAGAGAGAGAGAGAGATGGGAAGAGAAGAGAGAGAAAGATGGGAAGATGAGAGAGAGAGAGAGAGAAAGATGGAAGAGAGAGAGAGAGAAAGATGGGAAGATAGAGAGAGAGAAAGATGAAGAGAGAGAGAGAGAAAGATGAAGAGAGAGAGAGAAAGATGGGAAGAGAGAGAGAGAGAAAGATGGGAAGAGAGAGAGAGAAAGATGGGAAGAGAGAGAGAGAGAAAGATGGGAAGGAAGAGAGAGAAAGATGAAGAGAGAGAGAGAGAAAGATGGGAAGAGAGAGAGAGAGAAAGATGGGAAGAGAGAGAGAGAGAAAGATGGGAAGAGAGAGAGAGAGAAGATGGGAAGAGAGAGAGAGAGAAAGATAGGAAGAGAGAGAGAGAGAAAGATGGGAAGAGAGAGAGAGAGAGAAAGAGAAAGAGAAAGGGAAAGGGAAAAGGAAGGGGAAGGGGAAGGGAAGAAGGGGAAAGGGAAGGGAAAAGGAAAGGGGAGGGAAGGGGAAGGGGAAGGGGAAGGGGAAAGGGAAGGGAGAAAGGGAAGGGAGAAAGGGAAGGGAGAAAGGGAAGGGAGAAAGGGAAGGGAGAAAGGAAGGAGAAAGGGAAGGGAGAGAAAGAAAGAGAAAAGAAGAGAGAAAGAGAGAGAGAAAGAAAGAGGGAAAGAAAGAGAGAAAAAAAGAGAGAAAGAAGGAGAGAAAGAAAGAGAGAAAGAAAGAGAGAAAGAAAGAGAGAAAGAGAGAGAGAAAGAGAGAGAGAAAGAGAGAGAGAAAGAGAGAGAGAGGGGGGGGATGGGGAATGGTCCAGAAATAAATGATTGATAATGAAAAATAGCCTCAACAGTTTTTATTTTTGCCCAGCCTCAAAAGAGTAACTTTCATTCTTGTGGCCATAGGTTATGTAAGTGGCTACTTTGCTGGGTTGGTGGAGTGTAGGCTGCGGGCACATGAACACCCGTCTATAGTGACAAAACTCTATGCCATTTTGCAAAGTTTTTTTGCATAAACATTTTTAGCTTTATTGTCATTTTCCAATATACATATTTGTCTTTGGATTTGCTTTATCCAGATGGTAATAGGGTTTTCCTTGTACAGACTCCATATTATATCTCTTTGTACCAAGTAACTCAGGAAAAAAAAGATATGTAACATGATATAGTTATTTGTGGCATATATCTTTTATTTTCATAATTTTCAATTTTCCATAATACAACCCGCACTGCCAGTCATGGCAGTCAGGAATATGACCCAAAAATGGCTTCCTCCTTCGAGCTGGTGCTCTACCAGTTTTGGGTTATGGACATTACATTCCACATTTGTTTATCAATGGGCATAATGCAAATACCCTGTTCTCAACACCAAATGAGTCAAATTATTCTCCAAGAGGTTTGTGCACTCATGGCAAGTCTCTCCAGTCATCCTAGCCTTTGTTTATGATGGCAAGTTTGTGTCACCTGTCCTGTGGCCATTTTGTCCCATGACTGCATGTTTGTTTCACCTGACCTTCAAGCCAAATTAATCCTTGATGTAATGTTCATGTCATCCTGATCGAAGGAGTTAATTTTCACATTCACAAGTCCAAGAGTTGTTATTTGTTTTTCATTTACTTTTTTTTTTTTTTTTTTTTTTACCTCAAGGTCTTGTATTTGTATGTATTTGACTTTGGAAATTGAATTGAGTTCCTGAAATATTGCATATAGCATGTTAAAAAAGAAAAGTCAGTTAAAGATCTCTTTAAAATTAGATTTTAGAATTTTCAAAATCCTATGTGTAATTCTCTGCATTTTCTGTTATTCTTTTTGGGAAGGGTAGGGTTGGAATTTGAGATGGTTAAAAACTGTCTGCAGTGTAAAAACAAAGTGTTCAAGTACTTGGCCTTAAGGGGACCATTCCGAGAGAGTAAAAATTTTTGGATCAAATTGAGTTAGCTAGCATATTGTATAGGTACGTGAATGAGGAAACTACCAAATGAGTATTAAAGCTCTGCTATGATTAGTTCTTGGGCGGCGCATGCAAGACCTGCTAAAAGCCTGGGGAGGTATGTCGCTTATGAACACCCAGGTACACCTATGTGGACTTTTGCTTGTTGCAATCATGCATATGGCATTTGATTATGACATTTCTCATAGATATGAGTTTGCCAACATCAGAAAAAAATTATATCAGTGATTTATGAAGAAATATTTTATGAAATATATCTAAAAAAAAAAGCCCTTAGTTTTGTGTCCTATTTTAACCATGAAATATCTTTCCATTGAGATAACCTGATAATATGATGTAGCTTATGATCTTATGATCTGTATGTATACCAAGTACGAAACACTAATGTTTGAAAATATCCGTACAAATAAGGATTAAAATATTTCCATTAGACTTCGCTCAATTTTCGGTACATTACAGCATTGGTAAATTTGATTTTATTTGAAATTGGTCATTACTGCTGTAAAGGGCAACTCAGTAGGAAGGGTATCTAAAAGTTGGATTTTTTAACTTTGAAGGTATAAGCGAGATACTGATTATATCATATTGAAGGTGGTAATACACAGTAATATCTGAATTTTTACGCATTTGTGTGCACAGTCTTCGTCAAGAGTTGAAAAAGCAATCGCATCCGTTTTGTGCGTTTCCGATATAAATATTACGTTTAGACGTTACCGTAGGTCTTAGGTTCCATAAATACGCAAATATCTAACCACACCAAGGCGTCTGCATGATTTTATATACATCTTATTAAAGATAATGGGTGTAAATGACAAATCAGCAACTCTACACTCATTTTCATTGCAATCTGTTTCTATTGACAATTATCAAAGAAAACAGTTTGATTGGGATGACTAATATATTTTATTCCTTTACATGCAAAAGTCGATGTAGGCCTAATAAATGAGGAGGATTAACTTTTTAACTTTGTGTTTGTGTTTACATAGATATGATCCTCCTTGAAAATTATAAACACAGTGACCCCCCCCCCCCTGTGTGGAGCATAGAGAAAATTCAACTCCCTTGGTAAGTTCTCAAATTCCATGTACTGAATTCATATGCTTTTAAAATTCTCAAAATTGATCCAGCAGGTTGTATTCAAAGGGTAGTTGCCTCACACTCCCCATTGGGTGGGACAGTCCTCTTAACCTGTTGGATCCAGTTGTGTCACAGAAATCACAGAGCCAAAAATATGGGCAGTGGGTTACATAAGTGGCCAATATCCCAAGCGTGCGTGGACACCCATGAGCGATGACAAGACTCTGTGGCCTCTCTTTACAAAGTTATTTTGCATAAACTTTTTAATTTTTTTTTTGCCATTTTCTAATGCCATATTTGTCTTTTGATTTGCCTTATCCAGATGGTAATAGATTATTTTCCTTGCACAAACTCCATATCATCACTTTATTTAGTAAATAACTTGGTACAAGAAGAAGTAAAAAAAAAAAAAAAAAAAAAAAAATTGGCTATTTGCATCATATATCTTATTTTTTCGTAATTTTCAATTTTCTGTAATTCTACCTGCACCGCTGGTCAGAGCAGACTGGAATACGATGCTGAGCATGGAAATGTCATCCTCCCTGGAGATGGTACTCTTCCAGTGACGGCTTACACACCTTACATTCCACCTTTGTTTATTGATAGCTGTAATGCAAAAGTCCCCTTCTAAGCACCAAATGAGTCTAATCACAGTCCAAGAGGGTTGTGCACTTGTGGCGAGTCCTTTCTTTCACCCTGGCCTTCACTCTTGATGACAAGTTTGCATCACCAGGCCCTCGACCCACATTTTTCCATGACAGGACCGTAACATCACCCGGATCGCAGGGGTCACTGTATATTTTTTAGATTGCGTGTTGGATAGGTACTTGCTGCATTTTGGTAGACTGACAGGAGAAAATTTATTGCCCTGCGATTTCAGGCTGTTGCAGACTCTTCTATAATAGCATAGAGAATGATATCTTACGTCATTTTCATTGAGAAAAATTATTTATTTCAGATACTTATCGTGAGAATCATGGTCTGCCTCCATGTGGTGAGGACACATTAACCATTGCACGTACTATGAGAGCCTCTTCACCTCCAGCATCAGCGGCTGATCTTATAGAGCAACAGAATAACCAGAAAAGGAGACCATTCAGAAGGGTAAGTGAAGTGGGATATTGCATCATAGTTCAAATCAATCATATTACATTTGTATGAATACATTTTTGTGTGTGTGTGGTGTTGTGTGTGTGTGTGTGTGTGTGTGTGTGTGTGTGGTGTGTGTTGTGTGTGTGTGTGTGTGTGTGTATGTGTATGTGTATTTGTGTGTGTGTGTTGTGTTGTGTGTGTGTGTGTGTGTGTGTGTGTGTGTGTGTGTGTGTGTGTGTGTGTGTGTGTGTGTGTGTGTGTCAACAAAGATATTTGAATCTCAAGATATTTATCTTAAGATAGACTTTGATTATTAGCAGGGACTGATGAAGCAGAGCAGCTTAGATGACAGTGTTGGTGAGTTGGATCTTACTGCTGCAGCTGATGAAGATGAACAACCTCCCACTGATATGGATGAACCACCAGACTTGCCTCAGCCGCCCTCACCAAGACCTGGAACACCCATTAATAACAACAGCACCAATAAAGGTTTATTATGAATAACATTTTTGGAAAGAAAGTACAAGGCTTAGTGTCCTCCTTTAGAAATGTCTCAGGGCTTAACACTAAAGCTGCAAATACATCCTTCTTCATGCCATCTCACTTACAGGCAATTTAGTTTTTTTTATGTAGTTTATGGAAATTGTAATGAGAATGATCAGCTGTAAAATATAATTGTCACTGTCATTTATTATACCTAGGGAAATTTAGGGGTCTAAGAGAAGTATACCATTTATCTTTTTTGTTTACCCAATGCCTTCAGATTGGCTTAAATGCTACTAGCATCAATAAACATAGCAGTGTGTGCCCCTTGTGGGTAACCATCCCGGTTTGTAGATTTTATGTATATACAGGCATGTATATGTTTGGGAGTATTTATTTCTGGAAAAGTATCCATAATGGATTGGAAATTCTGCCTAGTATAAAATGTGATTGGACAGACATGACCCATGCCATGCACAGTTGATCTGTTTTGAGCTGAGTGCATTAAACAGTTTCTCTTGGTTCAGCCCTAAGTAAGCTTAAAGTCTCATCATGCATGTCACACCCAAAAGTATAGATGATATATTATGTTTCCTGCACATCAATTTTTTTTTATTCAAGTGGCTGACTTGTATGTCACAGGGAAATTCTGTTAAGAGGTGGTTGATATGATACACACTGTAATAGGATAATAATCGAAATTGGTTATCAGGAAGATTTTATATTAGTACTTTATGAGAACAGAGTTGTGAAGATTTTATTTTTCTTGCAGAGGTTGCAAACCCTCTAAATTTATCTGACTAGTATAATGTACTACAGATTATTTCTAACGGTTATTTCAGTTATTTTACTTCATGTGTTATTTGTTGGTGATAATTTCATGCAGTGTGGCATCATTCTTTTCCTTAATACTATTTAATATCTAACAGGATTACCATGGACTCCAAAAGTACGACAAAAGGACATAGACTCATTTTTAGATTCGACTCGTGTGAAGTTTGTTGGTTTTCAGCTTCAGGGGGACAGGACCTCTCTAGCTGGTCTTCCACAGCCTATCCATGAAGGAGTTAAAGTGCTTTCCAAAGTAAGAATTTATCTTTTATTTTTGTGTATATAGATCTATATTTATATTTTCAGTGTGAATGTACTTTTGTCATAATGTGGGCTGTAGTGCTAATCAGGGCTATTTGGACCTTTACAAGTACTGGGCAAAAAAGTCCTACTTACTTGTTTCATACATAATGTTTATGTAAATAAAGCATTAGTGGTTTTGAATGGTCTGAGCAATGCAAAAAAAGATTTTGTATTTCATGTGTGATTATGACTGTAAAATTTGATGCATCAAGGAAGTTAGTATGAAAAATATAGAGGCATGTATAAACTCAGTGAAATAAACATGTCAGTAAACTTTGTTTCCTGATATTCATGTTTTGGCCATGTTTACATATTGCATTGCCACCGCATAATATTTTTGTTATCATAGGGAGGAAT